CCCCGCACTCAGCACCACCTTGTAACCCAGCCCCCACTGCCAACCTGGGCCCTGTGCCAGCTCCAACCTTGCCCGTCAGGGCTGTGCGTGGTGACAGCAGCTGTGGCCCTGACAGGTGAGCCCAGAGCCAGCTTGGAGCCCAGGCTGGCAGCAGGGCCAGGTTACAAGCTGGTGCTGAACGCAGGGAAAAGCGGCCCCTCGCTCTCCCCGTGGCCAACACCCTGCACTGTAGTTGCTTGCAGCCCGCGGGGGCTGTCTGTGCCTACTCCAGACAGCCCCACGTGCGCTGCAAGCACCTGCAGCAGGGAGCACCAGCCATGGGGCAGGCGAGGGGCTGCTTTTCCCCGCGCTCAGCACCAGCTTCTTCACTGCCAGCGAGCAAGGGGAAGGGGCTGTGTGCTGCCCCCTGCCTGTACCGTGGGGCTGGGGGGCACTGGGAGTGAGCAGATGTGGGAGCCAGCAGGAGCACAGGGCCTGCACTGGTGTCCTGGGGCCAGTGTTGGCAGGGCCCAGAGTGGCAGGAGTGTGGGGTCCCAGCCGGCAGGGGCTCTATGGAGCCAGGCCAGCTCCCCCTCTCTCTGCTGGAGCCAGGCCCGGCTCCAAAGACCCCTGCCAGCCTGTGCCCCGCTTTGGGCCCCACCGGTGCTGGCCCTGGGACATTGGTCCCAACACATTGGGACACTGGTCCCAAGATGGTGACCAGGAGGCGGGGCACCTGTCAAGGGGTGAGGCTACCCATGTGGCCCTTGAAAGCCTGCCAAAACTGAGTAAGAGGCCCTCCACCTGAAATAACTGCCTGCCCCTGATTTACACGGTAGTTCAATATGTCACTGTTCAAACTGAGTTATGTGGCTAAAAGTCTCTATGACTAGAAAAGCAAGCACTTGCCATTATACTTCGACAAATATTTAAATTGGCAAACTTATAAGGGTTTTTTGATCAGTGACATAGAAAATTAACTACAGACATTTGTGAAGCTAATTATCATTCATGTATTTCTTCCCACTGTTCCTGTAGATTCACAGGTAAGTAAGAAGATAAGACTACTTGTTTAGTAACATCACCATCCAGCACAAATACAGAAGCCACTGGAATTCCAGAATGACTGACTGAATTGTGACACCAGTAAATGATTCACATAAGATCCATAGGGCTCTTTAGCTTGGAAAAGCACAGGCTCAGGCGTGATCTGATGGCCACCTATAAGTTTATCAGGGGTGACCACCAGGATCTGGGGGAACATTTGTTCACCAGACTGCCCCAAGGGATGACGAGGTCAAATGGTTATAAACTACTGCAAGACCGTTTCAGGCTAGACATAAGGAAGAATTTCTTTACTGTCCAAGCCCCCAGGGTCTGGAATAGCCTGCCATCGGAGATGGTTCAAGCACCTACATTGAACACCTTCAAGAGCAAATTGGATGCTTATCTTGCTGGGATCCTATGACCCCCAGCTGACTTCCTGCCCTTCGGGCAGGGGGCTGGACTCGATGATCTTCTGAGGCCCCTTCCAGCCCTAATGTCTATGAAAAAAATCTATGAAAAAATCTATGAAAAGAGTTGGCAAATTAGAAAGTAGATGGTATTTAAACAGAATGTAGTTTATTGACAATCGATGTAATGCAGCAAGTGTCTCTTCAAATGTATAAACCCATGATGGCATCAGATATTTTTGCTTTCCATTAATTTCAGTTACTGGGTGTATTCAAAGGCGTAATTTGGCTCAAAATTAAGAAATACCATAGCAACCAACAAATAAAAGTGATATTAGTATAACAGTTTCTGAAGAAATAATGCTCATCTCTGGCTCATTAACCAATATAAAATATAGCTACCAGGTAAAACAATTAGCTCCAAATGCTGCAAACATTTATGGACATGTAACATTTTGGGCCCCACACTTCTAGAAAGATGTGGAGAGATTGGAAAGAGTACAGCAGGGAGTGATAACAATTATTGTAGGCTTGAGAAGCATGACTTACAAGGACAGGCTGAAAGAACAGTCTGGGGAAGAGAAACTGCGGGGGGGATTTGATAACAGTCTTCCAATACCTGAAGGTTGATTAGAGAAAAGGATGGAGATGTCCCTTGCACCCACAGAGAAAAGGCTAAGCCTAGGAGCAATTGCCTCAAACTGTAGCAGAGGGAATTTAGATTGGAGTCTAGGAAGACCTTTCTGACTATAAGGGTGGTTAAGCATTAGGAGCAGGCTACTTAGTTGTGGCATCTCCATTCCTGGAAATTTGAAAGAGCAGGTTAAACAGACACTTGGGACTAGGGTAGCTGTAGTCAGGAATGATCCTGTCTTGAGTAGGGGTTTGGATAAATGACCTCATGAGGTCTCTTCCAGTCCTATTTTCCTATGATCCTATAACACTACATTTATTCACGTTTGTAAGTGTTTGAAAGACTGGGTTGTTAAAAAGATGGCATAAATTAATGCAAGGCTGTCCAACTGGCAGACTGCAGGTTGCAAGGGGCCTGTAAAGAGTTAAGGTGCAACCTCTGGGCTCTGGCCCAGGCTCACTTCCTCCATAGCTCTGTCTACTGTGATAGTAGGAGTCTCCATGTTCCCATTCCCTCCTCCCGCTTCTGGCTCCTGCCCCTGCTCCTGGAAGTAGTGCAGAGGGAAGCTGCTGTGTGGGCACTAGTAGGAGAGCTGGGCTGCCCACATGGCAAGAAAAGCTGAGTTGCCACTTTGAGCATGCAGCTGGGAAAGAAGCTACACAGCTCCTGCTGCACAGTAAACAGGAGGTAGCTGTCCTGGCACAGCAAGGCAGACCCATCTGCAACCACTACAGCACACAGCCCCCTCCCCCATGCTGTCCAGAAGTTGGGCAGCTAACACTACTACAGTATTATTAGCTCTTAAATAGGTTCAAAATATTTAGGTAGTTTCAACTGCATTGGGGTATTTTCTTCAGCATCCCTCTAAATACATCCCAAATTAAAGGGAAATATTAGAGCTGAAGGTATATCATGAGTATAATTCACACATTACAGTCAACTATAAAAATCTTGGAATTTCATTGTTTTAACATCACTTCCATGAATTGCAAGAGCTGAGTGACAACATTTAAATGAATTAATGTATTTATTTTCTTGATACACATTCATGTATAACTGTTACTTATATATTATACTCAGTGCAATGTGGATTACTATGCATCTTAAAGAGTGACAATTGCTTCAACAATGGACAGCTCACAACTCAACTTTTTACATGAAAGCTCAATATCAATGCCAGTATTATTCCAGCTCCAAACACCTGATGTGCACAGAGAGCGCTTTCTGTCCACCTTTCACACCACAAAGAAATTAATTTAATCTATTTGGGCCTGTTATAAAAGTTCTTCCTCATTCAAGGGAGAAAGCTATTCACATTAACATAGGACACTGGTAAAACTTACAAGACTTCATAATTTCCAAGAGCTTCTTTTGGTGGAGATTTATTCCATTTACAATCTGGAATTTCCCCATTAGGCACTGCAATGTTAAGTGTGTCATTAATAAGATTGTATTTGAGGATGCGATCATTGGCTGTGCTGGAGGTAAGAGAAGGGGATGCATTGACCTACAAAAGAAACAAATATTACCTATTCAGCATTTACATTTATATATAGTTTCTTATACAGGACTTAACAACACTACCATGTTTTAGCCTGGAAATTAGTCCACATCTCAACAGAAAACCATAAAAAAAAAAAAGAAACTGAGTTGTCCATTTCACATTTTCTGTCACTATCAGTAAATTCCCTTCAGGATCTGACTGAAGGGTTTTTTGTTCAAACTAAATTCAGCAGCACTTCTGGGTTTATAAGTTGAGATAACATCAACAACAACAAGTTAACATTTCTCATTTACCTCAGCTGGGCAGTTGTTACATATGGGCCTCAGACCTATTTATTCTGAGCAAACTGCTCTGATTTGTAACCCTTCTCTGAACATTGTCACACTCTTCTTAGCCAGTAAAATGTGTAAGAAGCCTTTCGCTATTGTGACTCTTTATTTGGTTTATGCCCAATTAATAAATACAAACAAATTTGCTAGATAATTATAAATGTAAGCTGGCATCCAAGCAAAGAACTACTAGCTTTTAAAATGTAAGCTTACCAGTAAGATTTGGGTAAAGTGAAGCAGGAGAGAGACTATGTTGACCCTAAAGTAGAAATTAGTGAACCAGAGAAAATTATATAACCCTGTTTCATCTTAAATTTGCCTTCCTGTTATGTGTATCCTTTCTTCTAGCTTTGCTACGTTTGGGCTGTGCTGTAGACAACAGCTGAGCTTTAGCAGGTTTAGATTTACACGCGACTGAGTGCATACCAATTTTACAGCTACTGGCGCATTCATAAAACTGCAAGAGTCCAAGTATATTGTGAATGCACCTGGATTTTACCAGTCTGTTGAGCAGAAGGCCACAAGTTTACTCTTGAATTTGGACATGCTGCAAGTCTCAAAAGTTATTTTGTTGCCTTACTTCGCAACAGCCTTCCCAATCTACACTAATCTGAAAAAAGGGAAGTCTCAGACTTCAGAACAGCAGATGAACCCTTCTCAGCTGTTGTTCTGTGAAAGGAAACAATGAGGATGTTTGTCTATACATCCTCCAACACTTTACCTCAATAAGCCATGGTTTAAGCTTGTCATCAATGATAATATCATATCCATAGCACTCGAAGCAGTGTTTATCATTATTCATTACAGGCTGAAACAAATTGAAAAGAAGCATAAGCTCATTAAAGAATAAAAACTTGCTAAGCAGCTTCAAAGATTATGGACTTATTTTGCCATGTGGTACATATAACTAGGACACTAGTTTTCCATGCCAGTTCTCATAAAACATTTTCTACTCTTAAAGATAACATTTTACTAATGTATTTAGGATTACCTTTATTTTTTCAAGGTAAATGTCATCTTCTCCAGCTCTGAGTATTATGACAGTAATTATATTAATGTACAATATTTGATTATTGAGCTTTGATGAAAATTGTCATCTGCATATCCTACAGTATTTCAGGAATTTAAAATAACATTTTAAATGCATCACATGAAAACAAAAGCATTAACTACCTTTTTGCAATAGAAAGTCAGGTGTTTTTAGTCTGGGGAAGAGAAGACTAAGGGGGATTTGATCAGTCTTCAAATATCTTAAGGGCAATTATAATGAAGATAGAAATAGGCCATTCTCTGTGGCCCTCAAGGGATAGCACAAACAGCAATGGGTGCCTGTATGTGTGCGAGGATGCCACTCTGACACACTGTAGCTACAGCTTTACAAAGGCTGTAATTACAGCATGGAGCAGATGCAACTGAGTCTGCTAGTGTGTGCTAATTAGCATGCTCCAGCAGCCTTGCATCTCATACATTCAGCATCCCTGCACATCAGAATGGCTTGTTGAATGAGCTTTAGTTAAAGCACCCCCACTGCCATTTTTAAGTGCTGGACACTGAATACATGAGATGCTGCGGTGCTTTATTTAGAGTGGTTCTCTAAGGAAGGAAACTTTATTGGAGAAATATTCTTTTCATGCTCCAAAAGCACAAAGGAGACAAAGTATCAACACATTCCCTCCCTGTATTTGTTTTCCTTCCCTTCCCAACAGTTTTTACTAAACAGCTCTGTTAATACTGAGACAGGCTACCTTTTCTTCTTGCCTCTGATTCAGCACTTCAGGAAGCCTGTCTTCTGCAAATGCATAAAGTTACTCAGTGAAGGTACTCACACATTTTAAAGCCCTGTCAAGTCATTAATGAGTTATTTTTATATGAGTTTTGGATAACACCATTTCTCAAGTTTAACAGAACTGCAAATAAATCACACAAGCTTACTAATCTGTAACATGAGAATCATAGAATCATGAGTCGGAAGGGACCCAGACAGTCCAACCCCCTGCCATGGGCAGGAAGGAGCACTGGGGGTGGCAGGGGTCATAAGACCCCAGCCAGGTGCCTATCCAGTCTCCTCTTGAAGATCTCCAGGGAAGGTGAGAGCACCCCCTCTCTGGGAAGCCTACTCCAGGCTCTGGCCACCCTTACAGTGAAGTAGTTCTTCCTAATATCTAACCTAAACCTATCCTCCCTCAGCTTGTGGCCATTGTTCCTGGTGACCCCAAGGGGGGTCCTGGTGAACAGACTTTCCCCGAGTCCCTGCTGCTGGCCCCTGATAAGGTTGTAGGCAGCCACAAGATCCCCCCTCAGTCTCCTCTTGCGGAGACTGAAGAGATTCAGGTCACTCAGCCTCTCCTCATAGGGCTGGCCACAGATGCCCTCAACCATACGAGTGGCCCTCCTCTGGACCCTCTCCAGGTTCTCCACATCCTTCTTGAAGTGCAGCACCCAGAACTGGACAGTACTCCAGCTGCGGCCTGACTACCGCCACATAGAAGGGGAGCAAGACTTCTCTGGACCTGTTAGTGATGCCCCTGTTGATGTATGACAGGGTGCGGTTGGCTCTGCCTGTTGCTTCATCACATTGGCGACTCATATTCATCCTGGAGTCAATCCCAACCTTCTGTGACATAATGTCTTTCAGATTTAGTTTCTCTTTGATAAACTTCTTTACAAGTCAAATGCTGAGGGTTTGGAACAGGTTCCCCCCAGAGGTGGTACAGTCACCCACCCGGGCTATCTTCAAGAGGTGTCTTGATGCCCATCTTGCTGGGGTTGTCTGATCCCAGTAGTCTTTCCTGCCCAAGTGCAGGGGGACAGAACGTGATGATCTGTAAGGTCCCTTCCAGCCCCTAACAACTATGAAACTTGATATGACGAAAACAGTACCTTGGGTACAGGCAGAGCTCAGAAGTATTCACAATTTTAGTGTTTTAAAAAAGAATAAGAGGTTTGGGAGTCATGTCAATTCACTCACTGAATATACTGCCCACCCAATTAAGCTTCTTCCCCCCAGTCAATAGGGGATCCAAGAGACAGCAGTTTTAAGATGCAAAAAAGAAAAGTATCCTCAACTTTCACACCATTCATATTAGCACAGGGGTGGGCAATTATTTTGGGCAGAGGGTCACTTACTGAGTTTTAGCAAGCCATCAAGGGCCGCATGACAGGCAGATTAATATTAATTTTCTAAATTTTTTAGGGGCCCCACTGGCCAGATAGAATGACTTGGCTGGCCGCATCTTGCCCACCCCTGTATTAGCAGGAGTTAATTTCTTCAAGGTTATTTTCATGGGTACTAAGAGGTTGCAGCCACAAAGCTATCACTGCCACTATTTCATTAACATTACTCACTGCAACGGCCTTCAGTGACTGTACAATTATCCAATGGATTTCATTGAACAGCTTATTAGTGACCTCCTTTCCACGAGTGCTCTCTAGATACAGATGCAAGTTACTCACTGTCCATTTGCCTCCATGAATGTGATTATAGTCATCCTAGAGAATTAAGACATTAATTCAGTCTCAAGGAATTTGCTATTATTTACAAGTTTTGTTCTCATGCACAGAAAACTTAAAATTTGTTTTTAAGCAGGAAGTTGCTGGGTTTTTCAGTTTGTTTTGCTACATGATGGTTTATAAAGGCCAAGTTCAACTTCTTCTGTTATTATATAAACACGGAATACATTCTTATCACTTCTATATCTAGCTACATTTTTTAAATGCAGAAATGGGTATTAAAACTTGCTTTGTGGGAATTTCAAGTACAGAAGTACCAAAAGCAAACCAACAAAAACTGCATTTTGTCTATTTAATGACCAAGCAGAGGACAGAGGAAGTGGAGGTGACGACTAGGCAATCTGATTTCCCAAAGAGAAAGGAAAGAGCTTGGGTTTTATTTGAGGAAGACTGATATATTTAACAATAACTGTACTGCTGTTAACATACTGCTAATTTAGCACTTAAATTGAAATATCTTTCATTTATGTTTAATGGTCTATTCATTACAAGTGTGGTTTATTAGACATTTTCCATGCCAGAAAATAAATGAATATTAAAACCAGCATGCAGAGAGAGACACCAAATACCAATATCATGAAGATACTGAAATTATACATTTTTGCAGCATCTTATTGGAAATATAATTAATAATTTTGATATTTAAAAAAATCCCACTTGGCTGCAGTACTACAGTACAATCTATACTGCAGCTGTGACCAGGAGGCTTACTTGAGGAGCCCTGAAATATATTGGGTTAGAATGGCAGAGAAAAAAAAAAACAGGGTAGTTCTGAGCTAGCTAAAAGTACATGCACACTAATGAAGCTCCTCAGTATGCCAGAACATAATTTTTAGAATACTAAAAGGTTCTTCTCTGAGAGCTATCAAAACTACTTGTTATGAAAGGTTGTTAAATTATAGCTACAACATGCCTGGAAGCAAAAATGAAGAGAACCTGTCAAGGAATCAGATGAGTACAAGGCCCAAGAAGCTTCTGTGTGTATTTATAGCCTTTGTTTTGTTTTGTTTTGTTTTGTTTTGTTTTGTTTTGTTTTGTTTTGTTTTGTTTTGTTTTGTTTTGTTTGGGGGGGGGGAGGTTCTGAAAAGGTGTACAAAAGCCAGCATCTGAAACATGCTGTTCTCAAAACTTCCTCCATGAAAAATGCCTTAGGATCCCAGAGTTCAGCTAGCAGATATAAACTAAAAGCTTCATCCTCTTCAAATCTACTCTGATGATTTGTCCTGACAGGCTGAATCGATGAGACTGGACAGATGACTACACAATCAAGAGTAGTTAACAAAGAGCTCAACCACAGCTGGAGCAATGTTGTATCACTCATCTCTGCCAGGAGGCCCTCAGGAAATTGCCAAACAAAAACTGAAAACAGCACAGCTTGCTGTCATGTTCGTGTTTTACACACTCCCACAAATACACATTGGAAAGTGTAACCATATTCCTGAAGAACCAGCCTTCCCCTTTGTTCTTAATAGTCATTTCAATAGTTTGCTTGTTAATATTAGATTGCAAATGAACATTTAAAACACTCAGAACACTTACCCCATGTTTCTGAATGGCAACATTTGTAAGATGTACAAACATATTATCTAGCTCACTTGTACTTGGTGTATATTTTACAGTACAAAACCGGCAAAATCCAAGTTTATACCTAGAAAAAAAAGTATTAAAATATATATTAAATGCAACTGAAGTTGAGGAAAACAAATATTAAAAACTACTCTAGCCAATGAGAACAAATTTATTTCTTTTTTAAGGGACAAATCTATATAATCTTACATGTAACATCGGAGTGGACGATATGTAGACACTAAAACATACAAACGGAGGTCAAATTTCTTCCCTCCAATCAGTAAAGGATTGTTGATATAGAGAGAAATCACATAGGCTTCTTTAGAAGAAGATTGAGAAACAAACCTATAAAAACAAAACCAAAACAAAACCAAATCTTCTTCATTTCAGAATGTAATTATTATACAAAAATATTTTACCTTTCTTAGAAGCATTCTGACAGAAAAATAGTTGTTTTAAATTAACTGAAATCCTATAGTACCATTAACATTTAACATTACTCTAGTTAATGTGTGCAGGACAAGTTTGCATCATATATGCAAAGCAGTTAAAACAAATGAACAAGATAAGCTTTAAGCATTGTAGAGCAGCACGCATATTAGACTCAGATTCAGCAAGCTACTTGTATCCAAAAAGCCCATAAACAAAGGCACTGGGGCCTTAGAGACTACATTTCATCAAGAGGTTACACTTATGGTTTAAAAACTATCAAACCAATTTAATGTCAATATTGAGTTTCCGCTTCAACAACCCTTATTCATATGTATTCTAACACAATCGGGCTAGTGTTGGCTTGCTATTAATCTGGAGGGCAATCACCAACCCTTTCAAGCCAGGGTAGAAAAAGAAACTTAAGGAGAAACCATAAAATTGTTCTTCAGGTGTTTGGGTTTTTTTCTTCCCCCACTGTGAAAACAACTGCCGGTAGTTACAGTCTTTATTAGAAGGGGATTGTCAAAAACTAAGCAATAAAGATTTCCCTTTTAGTAGAAGAGCCATATTAGATGGGTTACAAAACCAACAAGAGTAACAGACCCTTCCCCCATGTCCTTTCTTTTGCTCTCTTCCTTCTTCCCAATGAATGCCCTAGTTTGTCTGTGCTTCCTATTCACAGGGCCCAGCTGTTTTCTCTGCACTAAACTGTGTAATGAGCCACAGCCGATAGCTCCTCTCTCCAGGCCTCATGGGGACAGAGTTCAGACAGGCCGGTCTTTTCTTCTCAGAACAGTGCCTGGTTTTCATGATTCATCTGACTAGGGAGGTATGCACAGTGGTCACATGACCTTTCCAAAGCTGAAAATTAAATCACTTAATGAAAGATTCGCTTTTAACTCCCAGGTCTTCAATATCAAGCAGAATAGTTATTCCAGCCTGTCCATGACATTTTCCTCCCTTGCCTATCTAGACATACAAACCCCAGATCTACACTGAAAGCATATTTCCACAGTTTGCTAAATGACTGCTTGTTACACAGCACCAAATGGAATAATTTGCACTAAACAGAATCAGAAGGTCAACAGGTTTCAAGTGACATTAGAGAGAGAAAAATGACAGCTCTACCAAATTAATGCTAAATGGCTTGTTGCACAGAGAAAGATCTCTATTTTATAAAACATGCCTAACAGTAATTCTAATATTATAAAAGGCTAAGTAAGTCCGTCTGTCTGTCCATAATGCTTCATTCACACTCTGATGGACTTATGGAAACAGCCAATCAGAGTGCTCCAAGCATGGGGGAGCACCACCATGATTCTCAAGCCAAGCCAAGGACTAAACAGAAGGTGAGGGAGCCAAGGCCAGCAGGGCTGGCCTGGGCTCCTCCACCCTGCAAGCGGCAGAACAGTGGCAGCATAGGACTTTAGGTGGTGGCACTCCATCCGTGATACCCCTCCTCCACCCCCCCCCACCTGTCACTCTTGACAGGCAATTGGCTAGTAGGTTATAACAAAAGACTGTAAACCTGTTTTAAACTTACGAAGATGTTTTGCTGTCTCTAGACCATTTCTTAATTTGAGAGAGTTTATTAATAAGAAATATCCCCTTTCCTTGAGCTTTTCCACAAGGTTTCATAATCCAGGTGCTGGAAGGATTTTTTCTGAATTCTTCAACAAAGAGATTGTAATCAGCAGGAAGCATAAAGGTGACAGGCACAAAATCTAAAGTAGTTAAAAAAAAAAAAAAAAAAAAGACTTAGAATACTACATCTGACAAGGACAGCGATGCACCAGTGAATATTTCTTTACCAGCTTTCCATTT